TCTATCTATCTATCTATCTATCTATCTATCTATCTATCTATCTATCTCTACCTATCTATCTACCTACCTATCTACCTACCTACCTATCATTCCACTCCCCATCCTCACCTATACGTGACTCTGGGCAGTTTACAATAAAACATGGCATAGTATAAAAAGCATAAATAAAAATATTCCTCTCTTCTATCAGGGAAGATGTAAATCACATCATTAATGAACAAAATAGCAGCGGATATAATGGTAAACAGTTCTGGAGACACAAGTAGGAACCTAAATAGTTTGTTAGAAATCTCTCCAAGGCAAATTTAGATTTTATTTATTTATCTAAGAAAATATATATGGCTGCCCAACTCACACTCAGTGACTTCAGGAGGCTTACAAGATAAAATTTAGATTATATAGGAGAGAATGAAAACGAAGGGAGGCTTTGCTGAATTCTAATTTTATTTATTTTATATATTAAATGCATATGGCCACCCATCTCACAAGAAGTGACTGGGAGTTATACAACGATCAAATAAAATATAGGGTCTCCTAATCATTCAGGGAGTTGGACTAGATGACCTCCAAAGTCCCTTCCAACTCTGTTTTGTTATAAAACAACAAATATGTAAAACAATCATTATAAAAATATAAAAATCATTGTTAAAAATTTAAAATATTATTAAATTAAAACTATAGAAACCTTAAGGCATGGAGAGAATGACTACAATAACCACAATAATGAAGCCATAGGAGCATATTTTGTTTCTGGGACCCCCCCCCCCCCCCCCAAGGCCTGGTGACATAACCAGGTCTTAAGAGACTTCCAGAACATTAATAGGGATGGAGCTAACGTGACTGGGGGATGGGATGGGGCAAGGGAGAATGTTACCTAAGGTGGCAGCACAATAGAAAAGGCCTGCCTCCTGGGATCCAGTAAAATGTAAGTCCGTAGTGGATGGTACATGCCTTCTTTGCTAGATCTAATGGTATATTGCATCCTGTTTCTTTTTAGGAGAATTTAGGAGCCTATCACAGGACTAAAAGATAAGCTCTTTACTATTTTTGTTTGCAATATGTGGCAAAAAAGTATTTATTCATATTACATGTTTCTATTCCATAGACAATGACAGTTTGTCAAGTGAAGTTATCCAATGGCTTATTAGTGCATGGGCCTCAGTGCCATTCTCAACATGAGGCCAAGGAGAAAGCAGCATTTTTTGCTTTACAACAGTTGGTGAGACCATGATCTAAATGTTCTAAAACTATTGCATTGAATTTTTTACATATAATGCTTCTATTTCCTGATGCTGAAAGCATTATCTTTTTCATACAGAGCTCTATTGGGATGAATTTTCCCATGCCACCACAGCAACCATTGCCACCCCCACCAATATTTCCAAATTATCAGCCACTGGGAAATTTCATGGCACCTAGATCTATCCCTCCAGTTTTCAATCAACAGCAGACTGGTAAATTTGCTAAATGTTTATTTTTTATTTGTTCAGGATATGAAATCTTTTCCATATAAAAAAGTTAAATGTAGAATCTGTTTCCTTCTCTAGACACTCGCTGTCCAAATGATTCAAGCATCACTTAGTCCTAGTCCTTTGCAACTGGTCTGGCAAAAATTTATTTATACTTTTTATTTAAGACTGGGGCATGAGAAAAAGAGAAAAGCAGTAGTAGCTCTCCTCATGCCCGTAACTTATTATACTTAATGGCACGCTTGATAGAAAAACAGTTATTTTGCCCTCTTTTTAATATGATCAAGTGAAATAATATTCATGAATAGGTGTATTGCTTAAAAAAGTTAATTGTAGAGAGACAAGTTGTATAATAAAAAAACAATTGATTAATATATTAAAAAACTCATTATATTCCTTGAATTGTTCCTTTTGCTCTGTAATTGTATAGAATAAAATAAGAGACTATAGGGATTCTGCTGTAGTAACATCAGTTCAGACCTTACAGTTACCAAATTTATTTAGTGGGTATTGTTGAAAACCAACCCACTAAAACAATTTAAATAAAAAACAGTTTTTATTTAATATATCTAATTCTTTTCACAGCTAATATATTTCCGTCATCATTTCCTGCCTTTGGTTCAGTGCAGTGGGGAGCACCAATGCCAGTTCACAACAAATCTTATTACACAGGTTCATATCCTGGAAGTGCATATCCTGCAACTATACCAGTTGGTACACATAACCAATTTATACCTTTGCAGGTAAGTTTGACAGCAGACAGAATGTATATATAAGTATATTCTCTGATTTTAGAAAAGTAATTCAGGTTATTGTTTTGTTTTTAGGTAACTAAAAAAACAGCTGCAAACAAAATAAATTGTGAGTCTAAAGAGTTCCAAACTTCTCTTCAGGAGACACAGTTAAAGAATGATCAGTCAGTATCTGACACCACAAAACTGAATTCACCAGCTACTTCCTCAGATCCTTTAAGACCCTCTCAAACTGTTCAATCTGCACCATCTTTTCAAGAAAAAATTGTATCTCCAAATTCAAGGGTACCTCATAAAAAGTCAACACCAAATGTTTCTACCAAACGAAAACCCAGAAAATTGGCTGTCAATTTTGGCGCATCGAAATCTTCAGAATAAGTATGGTACACAGAATGCTTACCTTTCTATTGTATTTTACAAATAAATACAATTTAAAATTTTAATTCTGATCCAAATTATGCTTTTAATTAATATTTTCTGCTACACATTATTTTTAATACTAATTGTGCTCATTAAAGAACTTTAATTGATAAAATCCAGAAAATGTTGAATTAAGGTAGTTATACAAGCCATCTTGCCTATTTTTTAAAATGGCTTTTAAACATTAACACAAGAAAGCAGCAATAATATTGATAGCGCTAGAATCGCTTTTTTAAAACTGGAAGTGAGTCTAAAAGAATTATTCCTGATGATTTGTCTCCTTTTTAAAGATTACATAACTTACTATTTATATGTAACCAATATTTTATTTCTATATTTCAGATTCTTTAATCGGATACAGTATGAATAGATTTTAACTATTGTTGCACTGCCAACTTTACCTAAAGTTATAAGTAGGAATTATACCAAAGCAATTTGAGAACTTAAACATGTTATAAAATTATTGTACAAGTAGTCCTCAATTTATGACAATTAGGACCAGAATTTCTGTCACTGAAGTGCTGTGGTCATAAAGTAAGTTATTGACTACATTGCTTAATGACTGCAATCCCAGCAGTCCTCGTTCTGTCATTAACCAAGAATTGTTGATCTTTAAGCGAGTACCCACCTAGTCCAAACCATCCCAAGTTTTGTCCTTCCCAGCCAAAGTGTCAATAAAGGGACTGCCTCTAGTTCCCCCCACCCACCTATTTCACACCCAGTCCCTGCACTTTGGACACCCTGCCCTCTGCTTTGTGGAGCAGCAACAGCATGACTGTGAGGCTGTGTGACACGCCATGGAAAGCACAGCCCAGTCCTAGTTAACCTCACCATCCTGCACTAGCAGACCCCTAACACCCTGTGCTCTGCAACCACCCACTGACCTTCATGTATGCCTAATCTGGCTGCTGGGCTGGGCAGCACTTCAGTTTGGGGGGCGGGGGCGGAGTTCAAGGCAGCCCTTTTGCAAAAAAAAAAAAAAAAACCTTTTTAGCAAAGCTGAGCTTTATGTCCCAAAATTTAAAAAAACTAAAAGCAGTCCCAAGGAGGGGAGGGTTGGAATAGTAAACTCATCCCTTCCAGAAGCTCTTTACAAAAGGTTGCTTTGAGGGTTTTTTCCTCCTCTTTTAGAAACAGGAAGCTCACCCCCATCCAGAAGCTGGTTACAACAGGTCTTCTTTGGGTTCTATTTTTCCACAACTGAAGCCAAGTCTACCAACCAAGCCAGGCATACCTCATCAGCAATGGGAGGAAGAAGACAGTGAAAGTCAGCTGAGGCAGTGAAGTACAGGGTGTCAGGGTTCCAAAAAGGCACGGATGGAGGCATAAACAAGGAGGAATTGAAGTGCCCCTGTAGTCATAAATGTAGGCAGGCTTACAAGCACTCAAAATTTGATCAGGCAACCATAGGGGTTCTACAACAACTGTAATTCAGGCATAGGTTGTAAGTCTTTATTCAGCGCCATCATATCTTTGAACAGTCACTAACAAATGGTGTTCAAGGACTACTTCTAAATGTCTTTAAGTAAAGGTCCCAATGTTCTAGCAATTTATTTTTGATCTGCTTTTATCCTGAACACAAAAATTATTTTTGCACATTGCTCAGTAAACCTATACAACATGAACTCTGAACCTATCCTTATTTATGAAAATGAACTCTTTACAATTTGGAACAGTTGTTTCTTTATAGGATAAAAATTTGATATGATTCCTTTAAAAACATAATTTACAATCTTAACTCATACTTGGACACAACACAAGTCTTTTTGTTTTTGTTTTATTGTTCACCTTCAGTGTCTTTTGGGAGAAATAAAACATGAATCAGCAGGATACTGTTTTATTACTAACTTTTGAAACATTCAGAATGTTTTTTTTTACTGGAAGCAGTAGTAGCATTATATGAATGAGTATGATCACTTTCAAATAACACATTTCTCTTGCTAGAGTAATTTCACTATAGGAAAATACCCAAATAATGTTGTCAATGTATTATCTCCACATATTTGCATCCAAGCTGAGTCCATGTTGATCCAACACAAAAAACCTGCTTTTTTAAATGGAGATTTTCATGAAAAATTAGTACATTGTTACATTACAGCATGGGAAGTGGCCATACTCATCACTTTCAATTTGGACAAACAGTACAGTATACTTCGCCTTGAATTATGTTTAGCAGAGAATATTTACTTAATGCTGACATTTGGTTTTAAATCCACAGTAGTTTAGGAATCTGCCTATAATTTTTCTGAATTTAAGTATATTAGATTATCTGTTAATTTGGGTTTTGGTAATAGGTGTGGTGTGGTTACAGATTTCCATGGATGACAACCATTTTTATTTGCCAGTGTGACTGAAGGCGGAATTACTTATTGTTTACATGTTTAGGAATATAAACATCCATACTCTAGGCCCTGGAATGTTTTTTTTCTGTGTCAAAATCTGTAAACTGTGTGTGAGCCACTAAAGAAAAGTTGACTTAGAACCAGCAAAAATATTCATTTTTTTCCTATTAGATTTATATTTGTTTTTTTAATCCAAACTGCCACTTACTTTCAGTGATTTCATTCATATCTGTACATTATATCTGTTCCATTTTTATTTTTCTTAAGAATCAGCCAGGTCAGTATTAGTTTCCATATAAGGTACCCTGGGTTTTTTTTTTTATGTGGTAAGACATAAGTAATTGGCTTAAGGCCTCTCAGAGTGTATTTTATAAATGCTGGATTTTTTTCACAAATCTTGTACAAAGCAGTATTTTATTAAAATCTCAAAGGGAAAATGTGCAGATTTTATAATTTCTTTTCTAGAAAATGCTTTGTCTACCTAACAAGATGTGATAAATCGGCATGAATATCAACTGTATTTTTGTGTATAGTATGTGTATGTCAGAATTCTATCATATCACATAAAATATTGTGCAAAGGTATTTTAAAATGCAAATTTACAATGTACAATGAAGGATTAACATGTATGGTTGAAATACTATGGAGAAATTTAATACAATAATTTTATATAAGATTTGGCTTTGTCTACTTGTATTAAAATGTAATAATGTAACGATTTGGCTAGAAGTTTTGGTAGCCAAATGATAACATGTATTAAGGTGTTTTTTACATATGTTGAGATCAGGATCATCAAAATTGAACAATAAAAATTAATATAGGCAGTTACAATCCAGTTCTGAATTCAGGATAAATATGGAATAAAGAAGAATAAATTTAAATGACATACTTAGTCAAAACACAATTAATATTATATCCTAATTTCAAATAAGTTTGAAACAGTCCCAAAAAGGGCCAAATCTGATGAGCTGTATTCACATTTATCTATGAATAATTTGCTACCTAGATATAGATATACCAGTTGATTCAAATGTATATTGCAACTGCATTTTTAGTTGTTCAATGCATCACCTTGCTTTTGATGGTACAAAGAAAATATAAAAGATTGTTAGCATTAAATGATTTTGCATAGAAACAACTTTCTATTCATTTGACTTACTAATTTGGAAAATGCTTTAATTCTGTTTTTTATGTTCAATCACTAACTTGTGGCTGATTCTTTATGACCTCACAGACCACAGCACACCAGGCTCCTCTGTCCTCCACAGTCACCAGGCTCTTCTGTCCTCCAGTCTCCTAGAGTTTCCCCAAATTCATGTTCATTGTGTCAGTGACACTATCTAACCATCTCTTCCTCTGCCGCCCCCTTCTTTTGCTTTCAATCTTTCCCAACATTAGGGTATCTTCCAGTGAGTCCTCTCTTCTCCTTAGGTGGCCTAAGTATTTAAACTTCAGCTTCCATATATTCCAAAAAATAGTCAACTTCACTATCTTCCAAAGAACAGCTGAGGTTGATTTGTTTTAGGATTGACTGATTTGATCTATTTACAGTCCAAGCTATTCTCAAGAATCTTCTCCAGCACCACAATTTGAAAGCATAAATTCTTTGGTGCTCAGCCTTAACCTCAACCTTATGGTCCAGTTCTCACAGCCATACATTACTACTGGGAAAACCATAGCTTTGACTGTACATTTGTTGGCAGCTTAATGTGTCTGCTTTTTAATATGCTGTCTAGGTTTGCCATAGGTTTCCTCCCAAAGAACAAGGATCTGTTGATTTTATGGCTACAGTTACTCTGTAGTGATCTTGGAACTTGAAAATGCTTCCATTTCTTCCCCTTCTATTTACAGGAAAAGATGAGACCAGATGCCATGATCTTAGTTTTTTTTAATATTGAGTTTCAAGCCAACATTGTACTCTCCTCTTTCACCTCATCAAAAAGTTCTTTAGTTCCTCTTCACTTTCTGCCATTTGCATGTTATTGTCTGCATATCTGAGGTTGTTGATATTTCTCCCAGCAACCTTAATTCTAGTCTGTGATTCATCCAGCCTAGCATTTCACATATAAATTACTCTGTGTATAAATTAAATAAGCAATGTGACAATATATAGCCTTGTTGTGTTCCTTAACCTATTTTGAACCAATAGCTTGTTCCATGTCTGATTCTAATAACTGCTCTTGACCTGCATACAGATTTCTCAGGAAACAGGTAAGATGGTCTGGTACTTCTTTGTTTAGTCTATAGCTATATAAAATCAAATTAAGAAAGTTTAAAAGCTGCTTTTTTGTTAATTTAACAACTAATTTAGTTGTACCATAAAACATTAAAATATTTTTCCAGTTAGATACTTTTGATTTACAAGTTGTAGATATCTGGAGATACTCATCTATTAACAATCTGTTGAATCATCTACAAATAGTATAATGCACCAACAATTTAAAATTAGTTTTAAAAAGCAATTAAGTGCTTACTTCCTCCTGCTAAATGTGGGTATGAGAACATCATTTGGTCTGGATAGAAGGTCTAATCTTTCAGACAACTTTTTTTTTTAGCGTATGGCGTGTGTTAGCCAGGGATCACCGAGGTGGCTGGCTGCCTCTGTTAAAGGAATTTTTCTGGCAGTATTATCTTTACCCGTGGGACACCTGAATGCTGGTAGGCATTCGGGGGAGGATTTCTTATCCCTACGCGGTTTATTCACTCACGGGAATCTAGCTGCCGACCTCAGCGGTGTGCAAGCCCAGCGTCTTATCACGTGAGCCACTGCGGTTCTTCAGCCAACTATCTAGCCTTTAACAAATAACTGTAGCTCCTACGGCAACTGTTTAAAATATGGGGAATATTCCATTTGTGTTTTAAGTCCAAATATTAACCTAGTCAAATGTTCCTGCTGATTTGCACAGCACAATCATGCCTACAGAACAACATGTTGATTTCTGGGGAATATAGAGTCCATGTTCACTTTCTCCAAGTGACTTACATTTCAGAAGCTCTTGTTCCAGGAAGGCATTGGTAAAGCTTCATTATACCACCAAGGCCTTCAGCAGTTCCAAAAGTTAAAGGAGAGACTGCAGAGCTCATTCCCCATTTCAGAAAAAAAAAATCTTCCTATCCGTGCTATTTTTCTTTCTGGAAAGTCCCTCTCTTCAAATTCTTACAATAGTCATCTCACAATATCTCACAATATCTGTCCACCATGGCTAAGGAGGACAGGTACCATAGAAAATCCTGAAAAATCTTTCTCTGACAAAGAAGCCTGCATGTAACCACGCAGTCTTCCTGCTGATCATACTTAGGCTTTTCTGCAGAAATACAAATAGTCCTAATAAGAATAGTACAGGTTGTTTGGTTCTGTTAAGAAAGCTACTTATTGGAGAGGGAAGAACGGGCTATAGATGATTTTACCTAGATGGTTTTTAAGTCATCTAAGAGGACTCTAGGAACAAGAAAAAAAGGACTGACGATAATAACAATTAAGATGGGCATAGACAATTCTAACTTTTGAAAATAAATTTTTAATTTAAAAAAGGGAGATTTATAAACCTAAATCAGTTTACACAACATTTATTACCAATGCTTCTATGCTGTTTCAATAGCACACTAGCTTACAGGAAATATATGATACAGCACATTAAAATAATGCGATATACCAACTATATTTACAGTAATAATACCATCAATATAAATTCAATGGAATCACAATACTAAGTATATCACTTATACTGCTGAACTGTTTCTGGTTTGAGAAATATAATCCAGAGAATATTGAAGACTGAAAGAACAGAATGTGTCATAGGATATAATCTACCCTGCACATATGATCTCCAGGGATTAAAAAAAAGCAAGTTTTACCACTTGGAAAAAAGCCTGCTGCCAGTCTGAGAGAAAATGCCACTAATCTGTAAATCCTTTAACTCTAAAATTAAGAAATAGGTAGCATTAGAAGTAGATTAAGCACTTAAGTTAAATATGCATGACCTGCAAATGTGTGTCCTTAAAATTATTTTCAACTTAAGTGTTTTGCATTTTAAGTCACTTACCAACTAAAGCTTGGGTGGAGGGAGTAATTTGCAACTTAATGCAATTAGTTGGTCAAGTATAGCCAAGACAAGATATTCTACATGTTTTAATGTTTCTTAATAAAGGAATTAATGGAGCTGCCCTCATACAGTCATTCATCAAATCCTCTGAACACGTTGGAACATTCCTGTTGCCTCTCATTACCCTGTTTGTCATAGCAGTCACATGCAAACATCAATTATTAGACTAATAATATAAAAGCTATAGTAATAAAATAGCATGAGAAAAACCATTTTCTTACTGTTTCCAAGGAAAACATTTTGAAGAAATACAACTAGAAAGGATTATAGAATCCTTGCTCTCTGAGCTTGGTCATTTGTTTGCAGACATTTCATTACCCAACTAGCTAATAACATCACTACTAGTGAGTGTAAGGTTTGTTCCCTCTGTATAGCATAGATTGCCCTGTCCTGTGGGATATGGTTTTCTCCTTAGTAGTTTATTAAGGTTTTTTTTGCTTGTTTTTTTGCTTATCTGGGTCTTGGTTGCTGGAGAGGATGTGTTCTGGTCTTTTTGTTTTCTTCTTAGCTTTTGAGTTATCTCTTTTGACTGGTTTGTAAATATGGTTTATTATAGATTCTCAGAAATAATACAACATACAACAGAACTTGTGACTTCACAGTTAATAATGATAAACATGTTTCTTTTATTTCCAGGCATGGAAAGCAATTTATGCAATATTTCATTAAAAGTTAACTAAGCATAATTTATTTCTTCCTCTTGTCAATAATACATAAAAATTCAGCAGTTATTTATTTCTACTTGTGCCAATAAGACTTTTCTTATCTTCCTCTCCCAATTTGGAGATGACTGAACAATTACACTGGCTGGCATTGTCTCTTGGGCTGGCAAGACTTGGTTATTTCTCCCCAAGGCCATCAGTAACAAGACAAAACCTTTGCCATAAACAGAACTGGTCTGTTCATAACCCCACCTGGGAGTACATCAACAGTTTCATTCCAGTTCCTCTGGAAGAAAGTCTTCAGGAAACCAACGCCTAGAATCCATTTGGTTCACCATACACCCACCACCCTCTTCCTTAAATTATCTTCAGCCTAACCAACTCATTCTTCCCTGTCAGGGCATCACTGCCTTTTTAAAAGTTCTGATAAATTTTCTGAGATAAGTTTGTTTGTTCCTTTCTCAGTTTCTGTTATTTGCCTGAGAGTTGATGTGAAGATTATTGCATACAACCTGCCCATCAGCAATGCACAAATTAGTAAAACCCTTTCCTTGACTTCTGTGCAAACTCAATTTCTTCCTTGGGGTAGAATTTGGTTATTTTAGAGCTGGTATGTGGAACAGCCCTTAGTCCTCAAGTCTTGTTATCCAAGGATAGAACCCACAGAAAATTCTGCCACCTTAAGGAACTCCTGAAGGAACTTCTCACCCCTGTTTGTCCTCAGGGCTTGTCCTCACTTGAAGCAAGTAGAAAGGGGGAGGGTAAGAAATGCCTCCATTCTCACTGAGGTTTGAGAACAGGCAGACTACCCTCCTCTCCTTCCTGTCCTACTCCCAGAATCACTTTCAGTGAGAAAAATAGATACAATCTTTTATCCTTTCATTTCTGGCAACCCCTCTCCCCAATAATGCCTAGGGAAAGAAGGGAATCTTGAGAAATGGTTCGTTTTCCTTTCCCGCCTCCTTTTGGATCCTTTTACACTGCAGATCTGCGAGTAGAGGCAGTGTTGTCTATAATGACTCTTAAGTAACTAAGAGGGTGGAAAAACCTCTTTAAGACTAAAATCGCAGCAAACTATCTTTTAACTGTAACAACTTATTTATGCGGTTGCATCATTCTAGAAACAAAAAGAAACCACCTGGTTTTGGGCTTCAGTTCCTAGAATGCAAAGTATATTAGAAAACCAAAACAGGTTTTTGTGTTTTAAACTCGCAGGCGGCCTCTGGAGAACCTATGATTGCCTACACAAGCAACTTCGTGGAAAGTTGCCTCGCCCCGCTCAGTTGTTTCCCCAAGACACCCTACAGAAACAGGCAAAGATTGCAATCTTGTGTATAGTTACATTAGAATAAAGCATTCGCAGGAGCCACCTGGGAAGTCAAATCCGAGAAAGGAAGCGACTCAGCAGACTTCTCCTGTCCTGTTTCCTTCCCCTGGTTGGCTCCGGCTTCCCCGCGCGATTCTTTCGCTTCCCTACCAGCTTTTCTGCGAACAGCCTCCGCCCCCTTTTTCTCGCCTCATAAACCAGCCCCTGAAGTAAGGGCGGCTTCTGCCGCGTCCCCAAAGGCTCGGTTGACACTTTCCGCCGGAGCTATTGCGAGAAGACTTTCGTTAGATTTTGTGGAAAGTTGCTTCCTGGGCTTTGAAAGGCGCGACGCCGATGAAACTGATCGATAGTAGCGGACCAGCGGCCAACAATGCTTTCACCACCAGCGTTGCCACGGCCTGCGCTCTTGCCCCGGAGATGAAGTATATCTTGGGTATAGACGTGGGCAGCACGGTGATACGGTGCCATGTGTACGACAAGGCGGCGGTCCTCAAAGGATTTAGTAGCAAACAGGTGAGAATTGTGCGGGCCTCGGGGAAGAAGGCCCGACATAACGAGGTTCCTTTTAACTCCATTTTACACACCGAGTTCTTCGGGGATTGTTTTATGCTATTGCCTAATATTACAACTCGAAGTGCAACGCGGCCCCCTAATCCAAAAATTGTGGGCGCACGAGATATGAGCCATCCAGACATGTTAAATCAAAATGTGTGTGCTCAGTTCGTGTGTTCATTAAATAATTCGGCTCAACTCGCTATCGGAATTGATTCAGTAAATCATGGTTGTGCCAACTTCATCGTTTACTTAAAAACAAACTCAGACTCGTATTCCTAAATGGTAGGAAGAGCTGAATTTAAGAACTGCTTAAATTCAGTGGGACTTGCTGCCTTTCTATAAGTTATATACAATTAAAATTAAAAATTTTCCTTGATGTATATTTTATAAACATTTGCCTCCTGTAACCCAAGCTAGTTTCCTCCCAGTCTTTTTACTACTGGGCAGTATGTTTGTTTCCACTGTCTGGTGAATGAGGAAAGAATTGGGGGTTTTATTTCTGCCCTAATCCCTGATTTAGTGATCACATTTGGCTTTGTAGGTTTTCTGTAATGTACACTGCAACATCTGTAGTCATTGAAATATACAACTTGCTTGTTTTTTGTTATTAAGTATAAGTAAATAAAAACAAGATTCACATTGAGCTGTAATGGTTATATAGAAATTGGAGTTTGATTTAGTTTGCTATGTGGCACTGACTGAACTTTATGCAGCAGAAGTTTGAATAACAGAATCCATGATGAACACATGGACTGCACAATATTATGCTGGCCTATTTACTACAGCATTTACAGATATCCTATTCTATGTACTGCTTAAATATCATTTTAAAATTTCAGTATTTAACCTGCACTTAATAATCACACCATAGGAATTGTTTTATTCAGTCATAAATAGATACTATTCATGTTTTTTTTGAAAAGTTTTCAAAGTTGATAAATAATATAAAAATGTAGGTGTTAGTACTTTTGAAAGCAATAACATTTCCAATTCAAATTAAAACCAGCTGGGTAACAACCTTGGACCCAGTCTCTTGTACTCACTCTCAGCACAACTCTTCTCACAGGGTTGTTGTGGAGAAAATAAGAGGAAAGAGTATTAAATGCATTCATTGCCTTGAGTTGCTTATAAAAATAATAAAGGTAGGATACAAATAAATCTTTTTTGAAAGTGCAATGATAATGCACAGATCTCCCATGAAATGCTGATAGAAAGAGTGGCAAAATGCAGTCTTGACTATGCTTCCAATGTCTGGATATAAAGCTTATTGGGAAAAAAATAACCATATCAAGCTGGAAGGAAGTGTTGAGTGGCATATCACAAAGATGAATTCTAGTTATTCTCTTTGTGCTATTCAACATATTTTTAAATGAATTGGATAACATGCTAAAAATATTGTGATGAAATTTGCAGACAGCATAAAGCTGAAGGGTAACAGTGCAAAGTATGACAATTCTGGAAGATTTTATAAGCTGAAATAATAGGCAGAAACCAGGAAGAAATGCAAAGCAAAATGGGTTTTTCTTAGATTGAGTAAGAAAAGATATAGGATGGAGGGGGATCATGTTGGGTAGTGCTAAATGCAAAAAGGATCTGGATATTGTGGTAAATCACAAACTGAACATGAGTCAGGAATGTGATGCAATGGTGAAAAGGCAAATGCAATTCTAGGCTACTTCAACAGATGTGTAGGCTACTTCAACGGATGTGTTATGTAAAAGGCTACAATTTAAAAATGGCATTGACAAACTGATCAGAGTTAAGCAACAGGGTTATTTTGTTTGTTGTACTTTCCATAAACTGCCAAGAGTCCCTTAAGATTGTAGCTGGTATATAAATATAGTCCTTAGGTTATAATGTCATTTGGGACCACTAAGTGACCCAGTCACACAATATTGTACTTTATGACTGGCAATATCATGTGACTGTGTCACTTAGCAACGGTAGTCCCGGTTGCCATTATTAAATGAGGACTTTACATAACAGCTTCCTGGGTGTTTACTGACTTTGCTTTGGGGAAACCAATAAGGAATATCGGAACCTGTGATCACGTGAGCATAGCTTGCTGTGACGTAATTGTAAGCCAAACACCCAGATCAACATAATTTGACAGCGGGGAGGTTGAAAGAGCTGAAACTCTGAGGAGCGGTTGTATGTCCTTCTCATTTAATGCTGTCACAAATTTCAAACAGTTGCTAAATGAGTTGTAACCTGAGGACCACCTGTAAAATCAAACCATGGTTATAAGAGGCTTAGAAAGGAAAATTTTGTAAGTATGTTTAGTCTGGTGAAGACTATAGGTAGTAATAATAGCTGTCTTCCAGTATCAGAAAGGCTTTTATATGGAAACAGACAGAACTGATCCAGAAAACAAGTCAAGAAAATATGTTTTAATTACAAGGAAGTACATTTTGGCACTAGGTATATATTTCTAATGATAAGAGTTATTCAGTGAGAATTTATCTTTGTATAAGTGAGATTTGTCTATCACTTAAGCTGTTGGATATCCTGTTTGGATTGGAATGACATATATGCCCCAATAAATAAATATACTAAAAGTCTTTGTCAGCCCCACTGAGTAGACCAGACCAGGAAATGAATGCCACAAGAAGACAAGCTATTTTTATTCAGATTGGCTAAAATAAAAGAATCTTGCAAGTCTGATTGTTCCCTTTCTCTTTTCTTTATACTCTGTGAATCAGCTAGGAATCTACCTGAGCCACTTCAAAATATTAACTTATTTCTCTGGGCTTAAAATGTTGTTACTTCATTTCTACTACTCAACTATTTTGCTTAAGTAGTAGTTATTGCATATGGGATTCAAGGACATTTTCCCTACTCTCCATCGTGTTTAAATAGAGTGAAATGACCATCTTCTGCTCTGGTGCCCACTCTTTGGAATATTCTCCCATCACAAAAATTGGTCAGTAGGGACTTGTTATATTTGACTGATAGGGTAGAGTAGATTCTCTCCCCCAGGCTATCCATCATCTTGGTTCATAACTTTTAACCTTTTAATTTTAATTGTTTTTTAAATTGTTTTAGCACCTTTAAACTTTTTATTATATTGTAAGCTGCCTAGAGGCACTGTATTAATGAGATAGGCCACATAGAAATTTAATATTTAATATTTTTTGTAGGGATGCTGCAGTAGAGGATTCTTGCCTTGGGTTGTGAACTGAACTACTATAAATCTTCATTATCTCTTCCAACTATTAATTCAATGATTCTGTGAAATATTTTTAAAAATATGTTTAGTAGGTATGCTGCTTGTTAATTATGTATTTCCCAAAGAAGCATCAAAGTTACAAACTATGTTTTTCAGTTATGACTCTGGGAAACCCAGACTAAGTACAGATACTCCTTAACTTACAACAGTTCATTTAGTGACCGTTCAAAGTTACAACAGTACTGAAAAAAGTGACATGACTGTTTTTCATACTTATAACTATTGCAGCATCCCCATTGTCAATGATCAAAATTCAGATGGTTGGCAATTATCTCATGCTTATGATGGTTGCATTGTCCTTGGGTCATGTGATCACCTTTGACAACCATATGACAAGCAAAGTCAATGGAGGAGCCATATTCCCTTAACAACAGTGTTACTAATTTAACAACTGCAGTCATTCACATAACAACTGTGGCAAGAATGGTCATAAAATGGGGCATCATTTACTTAACAAACGTTTCACTTAGCAGCAAATGCTGAACTCAATTGTGTTGTAAGTCAATGACTACCTGTAATTATAGTTTAGCTTTCTCTCAATCTTGGTCATTCTTGGTGCGTTCAAGTTCATATTATGACGTGCATAAGTTGTGCTTACCATGAAAAGCTAATACAGATAGTCCTTAGCTATAAATTTCTGATCTAATTAACCCTGCCAATTTAGTAACTTAAATTCCCAAGTACAGTAACAATAAATGCATTTATTGGCATTTTGTATGTACCATGTGACCAGTGCATGTCGGAAATCCCCAGTGAATGATATAGAAGCTGTACTTGCGTAACTCACTGAACTACATCTTGCTGACCACGTTTGTCTTTTAATATGTTGTGGAACCAACCCATATGTACCTGATGATTGCATCATGAGAATAAAGAAAACTGGGCAAATTAACAATAGGTAAACATTCTCAAAAGCCACTGGAGTCGTGTTCTTTATGAAATGAATTAAGTATAACATTGCAGCTTAAAGAGTTACACTATTAGTGTTTCTCTTTCCCACATATGTTCAAATATATGTATTTTAGAGTTATACCCTGATTTTCCTGTATGAGTTCAAGATTGCATAGCATTCCTTCCTCCAATTTTTCCCCATGACAAACACATTGTGAAGACATAGGTTGGGATCAGAGATTATGGTTGATCTAAAGTGGCTAAGGATGGCTTTGAATCTTGGCCTCCCATTTCTACTGTATGGGAATACCTTAAGTACCCTCCATACTCTACTTTAAATACTATAAAACTACTTGGCTCTTAAATTGTCATTTATTTAAGTTAGTAAGTTCCTACTTTATCTCATTTGGTATGAGTGAGGAAAGAATTGTTAGTAATTTTTGGTAGCTTTTCTATGCAGTTGATTATTACTAAAGCCAGAGTATGCAATCACGGTGTGGAATGTATTTCATTTTTTCTCTCCTTAAATAGGTAAATGAGAGTTGGCTGCAATTGTACACAAAGTATATTATTTCAGTACGCTATATAGCAACTTGCTGACCATAAACAATCCTCTCAAAAGAAGGTGGGAATGGTATACAATAGAGTTTTATTTTAATAGAACTTAAGGTCTTGTTTGGACTCAAATTTAGATTTTTAAGGAGGCAAGATTAATTTCCATTCCCTGAATGCAGAACTGAAGAGACAGTTTACTTTATTTAGCTAGCCATCTCAAATATGACTCTGGCCAACTTGCAGATGATTAAAATGATATAAAAACAAACAATACAACAATTACTAAAAATAAAAATAATTAATACAAGAGCATATAAAATTGCTTAAATTCATAAAATAATTCCTAAAATTCCTGCAATATTATTTCTCTAAGGTGACATTGAATAGTTTCTTCTTAATTTTACAGCATTTCAATACATTCATATAATCGGGCCCTGATGGGTGCATTTATTCTTAATAAGGTAAAGGTACAGGTTTCCCCTGCCCAGTCATGTCCAATTCTGTATTATCTCCAAAGTCATCTCTGTAGTTGTGGTATCACAAATACTGTTGTTACATTGCTAATGCTTTGTGTCTCTTGATATCTTTGTGAAGGCAATGCTTAAACTGGTTTCTAGAGTTGGTAATAGATGTATAAATAGTATGAATATTTTGAATATATTTTCTGTGAACAAAATCTACTGAAACTTGAATCAAATTCAGATTTTAAAGAGGCATGATTAATTAATGAATAATTTAATTTCCATGTCTTCGTTCCCTGATGCATAACTAAAGAGATGCATGTTGAAGACTGGAAATACAGGGAGGATTCCTTAAGTACGTACTTCTATCATAATATTACCTTTTATAATGGGATCATACAGACTAGTTATTTTATTAAATAATTATACAGTATTTGAATTGCAGCTAGTAATTAAACATGATATTTCATCTATGAGTTGCAGTAGTGAGTATACAAAAATAATATTTAATATAAGAAACAATCAGAAAAAGTTATGCAAACATCTTAAATATATTTAATTTTGTGTAATACTTACTGCTTTATAATTCTTCTTATACTACTATGATGGGATTTGGCACTTTGCTACCAGTTTCTTTGGAGACAAAGGATTGATTTGATCTTGAAGGTTCATTAGTAGCATTTATTTTCTGATGATCAGTCCTTAAGAATTAATATTTATTTGCATTACTTACTTTTGTTTTTTATATTTGAAACTAGACTGTTTTTCAAATTCAAAATCCATTTAATAGTTTGTGGATTTATGGTGACTTTTAATATCAAAGAAATGAGAATATCAAAGAAATGAGAGCATGTTGTATTCTCATAAGCAAGTCTGCTTTAATGGAAAATGTGGCCATATGCTGAAGATTCCAACAATATATTTTATAGTATATGTACATACTATACATTGATTTTTAAATGGCTGGTCTGTAATTATGTTTGCCTATTTTTAAAAGAGAGAACGCGAGTTATAAGTGTGTAAGAAATAAGCTAAACAGCTTTAATTCTTTTAATATGTGAAGTTGCTTTTTTGTAATCTTCATCAAGATCATTAACATCTATGATCTTGGTAAACCTGTATTTCCCTTAATAGATAGAGGCTCTTTATCCTCAGCCCGGTTGGGTTGAATTAGACCCTGAAAGTCTGTGGACCCAGTTCATTGATGTGATTAAAGAAGCAGTTCAAGGTAATCATGCAACCATATTAATAACTTAATACTTCCATATTGAATTTATTTTAAAGTTCAAGCTAAAAGATGAGACAGGTTCAAACTCAAAGATGGGTCAGATTCAAACTCAAAAATGACATTAAAATAAACTAAATTTGATCCTTTATTTGCTTTCATTTAATGGACAATTTCTTGTGAAACTAAAGCTATAACCTTCTAACCCATTAGAAAAAAACTGTGCCTCCATCAACCAACTGTTTGCAAGCCGTACCACTCTATCTCAGAGTCTAGGTAAAGAGCCAGGTTTTGATGCCCTTAATTTAAAAAAGAATAGCTGAATAATTAAGGTGGTGTTGATTAAGCTTTATAATGAATCCACACGCATAAATGTTTCAATAAATATAAGTTGTTTCATTAAAATAAACTTAATTAGTAATCACAATTGTTAACTTAGTTTCTAAAAAGTGATGTGAGTGGAAAATAGGCTTTCCAAAGTAAAGTAGCTCCCATATGTTGTGAGCTCTTTTGTGAAGGCCTTTAATGTAGGTATTGTGATAGAATGTGCACCTAGAAAATTAGTGGGTAGGAGTTTTGGCAATACAGAGCTTTCCGAAGGAGGAGGCAGTATTTTGTATGTTTTGTAGTTTGATTTCTATGACTCACCCAAATGGATAACCATACAGATCTTTTAAAATAAATAAATATATCTTTTAGTTGCAGGACTTAAAATGAATCAAATCTCTGCTCTTGGACTTTCAACACAACGTGCAACTTTTATTACATGGAACAAGTATGTATAAAGATTATAACCGATACCTCATTCCCTGCTTGTTGATATGTATGGATGCCTTCCAAAATATATAAAGTTCACTTGTTAGAGTAATGTTTGATTACATTATTTACTAATATCCAGGTAATAACAAAATATATTTAACTTTTGTTTTAAACCTATATGTGTATTTTTAATAAATTGTATTTTTCAACAAAGTTCAGGAGGGGACGGTGCCCCAGCACTTTAAGGAGGCTGTGGTCCGCCCTCTTCTTAAGAAACCATCGCTGGACTCCATCTGGTTGGATAATTTCAACATTTATATGAAGCCGCTGGGTGAGATCATCCATCACCATGGACTGAGGTATCACCAATATGCTGGTGATACTCAGTTATATGTCTCAGCCCATGGTGAGTTAAGTGTTGCTGTGTCCTCCCTCTCGCAGTGCCTAGAGGCTGTTAGGGGCTGGATGGGGAGCAACAGGTTGAAACTAAACCCTTGCAAGACCTAGTGGCTCTAAGTTTGGGGTTCGTTGGCTCAGTGGGAATTGCCACCTTTGGTCTTGGATGGGGTGGCACTACCCCCAAACAGACCCTGTGTGTAATCTAGGGGGTTTCCTGGACTCAAGACTCCTGCTCAAAGGTGGCTGTTGTGGCCAGGAGGACCTTTGCGCAACTGCGGGTTGTGCACCAGTTACACCCCTTCCTGGATCATCGGTCCCTACTCACAGTCACTCATGTCCTAGTCACTTCCCATCTTGATTATTGCAATGCGCTCTACATGGGGCTGTCCTTGAAGAGCATCCGGAAGCTCCAGTTGGTGCAAAATGCAGCGGCCCGCATGGTTTTGTGCAGACCCCGGTATGCACATGTGTCACCTCTCCTGCAAGAGCTGTAGGATTTGCTTCTGGGTACAATTCAAGGTGCTGGTTGTCACCTTTAAAGACCTTCATGGCTTGGGACCCAGTTATCTGAGGGAACGTCTCTTGCCAGTCACATCTACCCGACCCATTAGAGCAGGGAGGCAGGGAATGTTGCAGGTTCCATCCCTGAGGGAGATACACCTGGTGGGACCCAAAAGAAGGGACTTCTCCGTGGTGGCTCCCTCTCTGGAATATCATTCCCCCAGAGATTAGAATGGCCCCCACTCTAGCACTCTTTTGGAAGGCACTGAAGACCTGGTTTTGCCAGTGGGGCTGAGGAACACAGAGCGGGATGGAGCCCATCAAATGGCTAGTGTGATCTGCTGTCGTTGGGGTGTGGGGTGGGAGCTGAGTGATATTTTTTTTGCTCCAGATTTTGTTCTATTGTACTTTATTAATTTATTTGGTTCTTTTTGTTAGTTTTTATTGTTTTTTATTTTTAATTTTTGTTTTAAATATGGTTTTACATTGTGTAAGCCGCCTTGAGTCACCATGGGCGAATAAGCGGCAATATAAATTAAATAAATAAATAAATAAATAAATAAATAAAATAAACACCTGAAATAAATAATTTTCTGCAGGGTAGGTGCTACTTAAATTGTTTATGTATGGATGTAGAATATACTCCTATACAGCTGAAAAGCTTTGCTAATTCTTTAATTAGTAGTTTTAAAATGCCACTTTAAAAGTTACTCCACAACTTTTACTTAAGAAAATATTATGAACAATAGTATCTGAATTCTGTATTTACCATTAATATATATAGAATATAAAACATGGAATAACAAGGTTGGAAGGAACATTGGAATCTTCTAGTTTGAAAATGCAATCAAAATTGTTGTTTAAGTATTTAGTTGCTTCTCACCCTTTGTAATCTAATGAACAACATTTTGCTAGGGCTGCCAGGCAACAACTGGTTTTTTTAGTTCTTTAAGTTCAAGTTTGTATTATCAGTGATAATATCTGGTTACCATGTTATTGGGCTTTTCTTCAGTTGCCTTATTTTTTTTCAAACATCAGGGATTTTTCAACTGACTCTTGCCTTTGCACCATCTGTCCCAAGTACTTAAACTTTCCTTTTATAATACTGTTTCCAATGGGCACGCTGGTTTTATTTATCTATGATTGAATGATTTGTTCAGTGGACAACAGTCCATGGTATTCTCAAAAGCTTTCACTGGCATTCGTATTCAAAGGCATCAATTTGTCCTTTAGCCTTTCTGATATTCCAATTTTCACAGCCATGGTTTTACAAATGGAGAAATGTAATCTCTATCTGTCTGTAGAGATTCTCAGTCATCCAGGTCATGGTTGTCCCAAAGGTGCTTTCACTTCTCATCCAAGAAGCTCCTGTCAGAGCTGAAGAAGCTTTTTGGATGAGAGGCGAAAACTCTTCAAAGAAAAAACAAGAAATGCCAGTTGTTTCCTGAAAAAGCACCTTTGGGGACAGTCTCTGTGATATCTCTGTACTTTAAAAGGTATAATTTTTGGTTAAGATCTCTGATACAAGTAGGAGACATGTATTGAGGAATGGGGGCAGGCAGTGACCAAAAATTTAATATAATTTCTGCTAAAGGTAATCCTGTTAATTAAACCAACGGTCACCAGAAAATTTTGGTGGGCCGCAGAGAAATCTCACCCCCAGAGTACCCCCCCCCCCAAAGCAATTAATCCAGGCTACGCAGAAACACAAGGCTGCACCGCCCACATGGCCCGCGGGAACCCTCCCCGCCCACTCACTCCTTATCTGGCAAACTTGCCTGCTAAATTGCTATTTTTCCTTTTTCCAACCATCAGCTGTTCTGCTGTGCTGGGAGATTTAGATTAGCTAGGAAGCAGGAAATGGTTGGATTTCTTGCTTTCTAGCTAGTCTTTAGATCCTCGGCTCTGTTTTTAAGCACAGTCGAACCTCCCTTAAGACTGAAGGTTCTATTATTCAGTGCAGACTCATGGCAAGCAAATTTTATGTGACAGACTCAGGTAGCCGATGACAGATAGATTCTGTGAGGAACTCAATCTGCCGGCCTGCTTTGCCTGATTTTGAGTAAAAGTTGCTCTTTTTTTAATAAAAAATTCAATATTTACATACATGGTGTGTTGTAAGTTAATTTTGTGAGTTTGCTTGCAAGCAAATTTTATGTGACAGATTGAGCTAGCCAATGGCAGATAGATCTCTGAATGAATCTGTGATTCTGTGAGCAACTCAATCTGCCTGCCTGCTTTGCCTGATTTTGGGTATAAGTTGCTCTTTTTTATATAAAAAATTCAATATTTATAAAAATATTTATAATATTTACATACAAGCCATGCCCAGCCAGTCACATGACCACCAAGCCACAAATTAGGCCATGCCCACAGAACCGGTTAGTGGTCCCTGGGATTTAAAATTATGAGTTTAGTGATCCCTGAGGTCTAAAAGTTTGGCGATCCTTGCTCTCACAACAGCTTTTCTGTTGTGATATGAAAGCCTAACTAGTAGATTCAAAGTAGCTGGCTGGAGCCTTCTGTTGCTTGTTCTTAATCTATGCTATTCAAATCATCATTTCCTTTGTAGAGAAAGAGCCAAAAACTGGAGCTCTCACATTTTCTTTTAATCATGTTAGGATCTCTCAGTTTGAAGTCAGCCATAGCTTTACACCTTCTTTGCTTTCCTCTTGCTACTGACATATATGAAGAAATCCTTTTTATCTGATTTTGCCTCACTGAATAGCTTTAGCTTTCCACCTTTGCCTTCCTGACCTTATACCTAATTTCTGAGCCAAACATGGGGAGATTTCTTTGAATGTTAATCCTATCTTCCACTTTAAATAAGCACTCAGCCACAAAGGCTCCTTTGACATTATTTGAGATTAACCATCCATTTGTTTCCAAGAAAACTCAACTAATGACAAAATCTTTGTCTTTACAGTTTTGTTCCTATGCATTTTCTTTACTATTTCATTTAATAAAAATAGTCTTTCTAAAATCCATACTTTGTATTCGATCTGTTTTAACCGAATTTTTGTTAAAATCAACTCTAGGAAATCATAATCAGTTCAGCTTCAACATTCCATTTTTTAATGTATTCTATCAATGACTTCCTGTTAATAAGGACCAAATAAGGACCTTATGCCACCAGACTTGAAATTCTAAAACTAGAAAACCTTGAATTACGCCGTCTTCGGTCTGACTTAAGCATGGTATATAAAATCATACATTGCAATGTCCTACCTGTCAATGAATACTTCAGCTTCAACCATAACAACACAAGAGCACACAATAGATACAAACTCAAAGTAAACCGCACCAAACTTGATTGCAGGAAATACGACTTCAGCAATAGAGTGGTCAATGTCTGGAATACTCTACCCGACTCTGTAGTCTCTTCCCCAAACCCCAAAAACTTTAACCTTAGACTGTCTACTATTGACCTCACCCCTTTCCTAAGAGGTCTGTAGGGGGCGTGCATAAGCGCATCATCGTGCCTACCGTCCCTGTCCTATTGTTTCTCTTATTCTTTTATTTTTCTTATATGTACCCATTTCATGTATTCACAACTATGTATACACTTATACTTATTATCTTGTAAACAATTGGCAAATCAAATAAATAAAAATAAATAAAAAATAAATAAATCTAAGGAACAAATTGTCTTGTGTTATCTAATCTTTTGAAAGATATAATTAACACCAACACAGAACAAAATTAATCTGACATCTCGTGTTTGACAGAATTAACTTTCCTACATATGTCTAAGTAGTTGAATTCTCCACCAATCAAACCTCATTTGTCTGAGGCTTGCTATCTGTTTCAACAAATCATCTATGGCCTGTATCAGACTTCTAGCAAAACATCAATTCTCGCCCTTTATTCTAGGCTAGATATTTTTATCTTGTCCTATTATCCATTGCCTAGATTCCTTCATTCCTGAAATGCAGCATTGTATTACTTTCTGTTTTCCATTTCCTGTTTTTCTGAAGCAAGTTATACTCATTAAGCCCAATATTTATCCCATGTATTCCTGTTAATCCTTTCTTGCCTTTACATTTTGTTTAAAAAGAGACCCATTGGTTAAGGTACCAGACTAGAAACCGGGAGACTCTGAGTTGTAGACCTACC